ACTTATATAAATTATAGTTTTTTTTATAATTTAAATATAATAATTACTTTAATTATTAATTTATTATCTGTTTTATTTATACTATTTTATAGCTTATATAACTGGCTTAACTTGCAGCTTGCTTCTTGTATACAACTGGGTCGTAACAGTAATGCCTAATATATCTGACTCGTAATGCCCAGCGTACTTGACTCGTAATACCTAGCGTATCTGACTCGTAATACCTAGCGTATTTAACTTATAATACCTAGCGTATTTAACTTATAATACCTAGCGTATTTGACTTATAATGCCTAATATATCTGACTCGTAATGCCTAATATATCTGACTCGTAATACCTAGTATATCTGACTCGTAATACCTAGCGTATCTGACTTATAATACCTAGCGTATTTGACTCGTAATACCTAGGTATTTAAGGCCGGAATATCCTCCCTATTAAACTTCTTTTGTATTCTTTACTTTTTCCTCTTTTTGCCCTTATTAAATTCAGCTACCCTATCGAACTACTATATAAAATACACAGAAAACATGAAGAGTACTCTCGTTTTCGCTGGTTTTATTAGCCTGGCTATTGCAGGGCCTGTTACCAACTGCCAAAATACATCCATAAACTCGACATTAGTGGATGGGTTTCAGAAGTGGGAAGAAGACGTACGAGCTTGTCGCAAAAAGAAAGCAGGCGCCGACCGCGAGCATTGTTGGATAGCAGCTGCACAGCCCTGCTTTAATAAAGTCGATGATGTGTTTATAGAATGTCGAAAGTCAGGCACGCCCATAAAGCAATGTATAGAAGAGGGCGATAGAGGGAACAGTAAATGCGGAGCACTGTGGGATGACATTTTAATTGGAGAGAGCGGTCTTAAGCCAGAAGGGGAGCAATAAGTTAGCAATTCCTTGAATGCCCTACTATACTACAAGAATATACTAGCTCTGGATAGAATCCACATCTATTTTTTAACACGTTACAATTTAAGCCCTGAAAGTTTAGCCATGTGTGACATCAGTAGGCGGGGCCAGCTGGCAGGTTATTTGTTAACAGCTGATAAAGTGGGCCCTTTTTTTTTCCGCGATAAAAATCGAGGAGCCTGCCTGGACTGATAAGGTAATACAAGGCAAATAAAAAAGATATAAACCCTGGTAAAAAGTATTAATCTTTCTATAGAAATTATATAAATCTTTTAGTACCTTTTACTCTACTTTATATACTGCTGATTTTTATACAGGCACCTTATTAGGCCTTCAGCCCCTGTAGGCTCTGTCAGAAGTCACTAGTGGCTAATCTTACAGGGGTTTGATTGTACAGTGACGGAGTGAGTCATATAGACAAGGACAAATAAACTTCCTGGGCTCTCAATCAGGCGACTAATACATGGGCACCCTAGAAATACTGGGGCACCCTACAATACATGAGTCATACAAGCTTTGAAAGCAGTTGCAAGATATACTCTGGCAGCATATTAGCCCTAAAACCGATAACGAGTAATTTGTGGCTCCTTGTCTGTCTGCTTTAAATTGGGGGACCTGGATATCAATTGACCCAGCATGTGGTAATTCCCCTTCACATCAAGGTAGTTGTAGTACAAGCATCTAAAGAAGATAGAAAATCGTCCAATATTATATTGTGCTTGTTTTCTAGCTATGCAATTTTAACAAATACTGGGTCTCCTACCTAAAGAACTACAGTACCAACCATGGAATAAATGCTCAGCTTTTCCCTCTCGTCTATCTAGCTAACAACAATCGGTCACTCTCAAACCAGACTTCAACGCTTTGCCGTTTTCCAACCCTCCCATCTCGCAAAGTCCCCCGTGTCCAAATCGAATAGGTCTAGCATGCGGCCTACGCTCTGGTCGACCAAGTCATCCACCGATGAGGCCCGAATATAGTATGCCGGGACGGGAGGGAAAATAATAGCGCCCGCATTAGACACTTCTAACATGTTGCGCAGATGAATACTGCTCAGTGGGGTTTCTCGAGCGACCAAGACGAGCCTTCGTCGCTCTTTAAGCATCACGTCGGCGGTGCGAGAGATGAGATCGTCACAGAAGCCGGTATTTATTGCAGCCAGTGTTTTCATGCTACAAGGAACGATTATCATTCCGTCTGCTTTAAAGGATCCGCTTGAAATTGGGGCTGCCATGTCGTGAATCGAGTGGGTATGGTCTGCCAGGGCCTTGACATTCGAGGGATGGTAGTCGGTTTCGTACTTGATAGTTGCCTCGGCCCACTGGCTCATAACCAGATGCGTTTTCACGTTCAACTTGCGCAAAGCGATGAGAGCCTTGATGCCCAGGGTTGCCCCCGTCGCCCCGGTTATTGCGACGACGATCCGCTTGCACCTCTGAGATGACGGCTGTTGCTCGGGCGGATTTTGTGTGGCTTTTGTTGACGGCATTGCTGCCATCACGGTTGGGGCTTCCGCCGGTAGATGGGCGACCAAAGTTGAGAGCTTGTGGGTGCTGGCACTGGGAGAATAGAGTACAGGCCTTTGGTGGTGATACTAGATCGGCACTAGCCTTGGAGCTTTTGCTTCGTCTGAATGTGTCTTAATGTGATTGGCTGGTTGACTTTCGATTGTTTTATGATGAGAGAGATGATTCTTGAGAATCTTTGCAACTCGGCCCAACCTTATATCTGCTTACGCGGCACAAGTAAAACCGTCGGACTACCTGAAAAATTACCAACCGAAACTGTACAGCCGCCAGCCAGACACCGTGCGCATCGATCCTACCAGACTTGGCTAGATTGTTCATATGCAATGACAAAAAGGGAATGGAGATGGCTTCTGTGGGAACCTCCGAGGCCCCGAACCCGAGGCTCCGAGCCCAGGGCCCCCGAACCTTGGGCGAAAGGCCTCGGGCGATCTGCCGTACTAGACTGACGACAGTCATACCCACCGCGCCAGGCGTGCTGCCTTATCGACATCTCGGGCCCTTCAGTATGCTCGATGACCTTCTCTACGGTGGCTGGAGACGGTGTAGAGTAGAGAAAGACCCGACTTGATGACCTCGGTCTCCAAATACGTGGCAAGCATTCAATCCGGATTCCCCCAGGTCGACTGCACCCCAGGGATATTTAAGCCACGCACTCGGGCCATTCTTCTTCGAGCTGTGGACGCACAACCTACATACAGCCTGTTGTATAACATACACATCGATTCCATAAAAGCACCACAACACCACTTAAAGGTGCACATTCACCGTGAAACGTCTTGATGGCCGCCGACCCGCCTTACCTCTGCTTTCGGGCCTTTGTCGATGCCCTCAAGGCCGACAATGACCTTGTCGAGATTGACACCCCGGTCGACCCCCATCTCGAGGCCGCCGCCATCACTCGTCGTGTCTGCGACACTAATGACAAGGCACCGTTATTCAACAATGTCATTGGCTCGCAAAACGGTCTGTTCCGTATCCTCGGTGCTCCTGGCTCGCTGAGAAAGTCTCCCAAGGAGCGTTACGGCAGGCTGGCACGCCACCTGGGCCTTGCTCCAACGGCATCGATGCGGGACATCCTCGATAAGATGCTGTCCGCGAGCGATATACCCCCGATCCCCCCGCAGGTTATACCCACCGGGCCCTGCAAGGAAAATTTCCTGGATGAGAGCCAGATCGACCTGACCAAGCTTCCTGCACCTCTGATCCACCAGGCCGATGGCGGCAAGTACATCCAGACCTACGGCATGCACATCGTGCAGTCTCCGGACGGGTCGTGGACCAACTGGTCCATTGCCCGTGCCATGGTCTCGGACGAAAAGCATCTTACCGGGCTCGTCTCTGAGCCGCAGCATATCTGGCAAATTCACCAGATGTGGAAGAAACAAGGCCGCGATGTGCCATGGGCTCTTGCCTTTGGTGTTCCTCCAGCAGCCATCATGGCCTCGAGCATGCCAATTCCAGACGGCGTCACCGAGGCCGACTACGTGGGCGCCATGACCGGCTCGGCTTTGCAGCTTGTCAAGTGTGATACCAACAACCTGCTTGTTCCGGCAACTTCCGAGATTGTCTTTGAAGGCACCTTGTCCATTACCGAACAGGGTGTCGAGGGACCATTTGGTGAGATGCACGGCTATGTCTTCCCTCACGATGCCCACGTTGGGCCCAAGTACCATGTCAAGCGCATTACGTATCGCAACAATCCCATTCTGCCCATGTCAAACTGCGGACGACTGACTGATGAGACTGTGAGTTGATATTGTCGTCCTGGTCATTACAAAGGCCGGCCGTTAACACAGAACACCAGCATACCCTCATCGGCTCTCTCGCCGCGGCCGAGATCCGCAAAATCTGCCAGCAAAAGGGCCTTCCCGTCACCGACGCGTTCGCACCGTTCGAGTCGCAGGTGACCTGGGTCGCCCTGCGCATCGACACGGCTCGACTGCGTGAGATGAAAACCACGCCAGCCGAGTTTAGAAAGAAGGTCGGTGACGTCGTCTTCAGCCACAAGGCTGGCGTCACCATCCACCGCCTCGTTCTGGTGGGCGATGACATTGACGTATATCAAGGCAAGGACGTCATGTGGGCCTTTTCCACCCGCTGCCGCCCAAACATGGACGAGACTTTCTTCGAGGACGTCGCCGGATTCGCACTTATCCCGTACATGTCTCATGGCAATGGTCCGCCGGCTCGGGGAGGCAAGGCCGTCTCCGATGCCCTCCTTCCATGCGAGTATACCACGGGTCGAGATTGGCAAGCGGCTGACTTTGAGAACTCGTATCCGGAGCCGCTCAAGCAGAAGATCTTGGCCAGCTGGACCGAGTTGGGATTCCAGGACGACTAAGTGCGCAGTAGAAGAATGCAATTCTTTCGGTTTAGTAATATACAAAGCCGAGGGATCAAGTCGCTCATTGAACAAAATAGCTAGTATTATACCGCTACCCGGCAGGTAGTAATATTCTAGTAAGATCATTGATATTTAAAACAAATATTATGTAGTTATAACATCAGCTCACGTGACCGCCGGCAAACACCCGGCAAAGGGGGGCCGCTAATCTCGGGTGGCAAGCCTTTTGAAGTCTGGTAGTAGGACTCGACCGTTGGCCAGTACAAGTCCCATCTCAAATTTATCATCTCAGATGTCGACGGTGCATTTTGATGAAAACGGCCTTTTTGAGACCAGACGACGCCACATAACGGCCACTAAGAGCAGCCAGCGGCATTCTCGGCGACATGAGTGCCGTTACTGCGAACAATGAAGAGGCGGACCGGGTGCTCCGCCAAAAGCGCCAGGCGCGAGGGCCCTCTGCTTGTTATCCGTGCAAGAAACGCAAAGTCAGGTGTGACGGAAGCGTGCCCTGCCAGACCTGTCGAAAGCGACAGCACCCACAGATCTGCACGTATCATCTCTCCATGCACCCGCAGCGTGCGTCGGTGGCGGCACCGGTTCAAGATGAGACTGCTCGCTCGGCCTTGCCTGTCTGTCCGGGAGAAGCGGGGAAGGTGAGTTGTGAGCCGTCATCTCTACCTGATGAGGCGTCCAAAAACTACGTGTACTCTGGAGACAATTCCTTCGTCTCTATTTTGGGATCGAGGGCGTCCGGGGCCAACGACTCGGTGGCTGGTGAGCTTACTTCGGTCCTGGGTCTCCAGAACACTTTCAACATATATCCGTTTATGGATTCCAAAACGCCCCATGATAGATGGAAGTTGTTGCTGGCTGTGCTACCACAGAGAGCAGAAGTCTTGAAGTATACTCCAATCTGCTGGCAGCAACGGACATTGTCACTAACGAAACCAGATTCTTTCACTGCTATCGGGCTACAGCATATCCATTCAACCCAATCATAGTAGATATTGACCAATTTGAGTCAGAATTATGCACATATCTAAGTACTCACGCTGCTGGCGAATTACATGACCCAGGCAAGATCTCTGACCGCTGGGCCACCAACAAGTCCATTGGCTATATAAGTCTTTTGCTGGCCACTTTAGCGGCAGGATCACATTATTCGGATGTCGAATATCCCCACCGCCAGGAGCTCTCTATAGACTTTGGTAGGACAAAAAATAATCGACCCACATGATGTTCTGCTAATAGTGTTGCAGCCAGTCGGTATTTCAAGCCCTTCGCTTAGCCAACTTCCTCTTCCGACCATCGCTAGACACCATTCAAGCCCTTCTCATCTTGGGGAATACCTTGCAAAATATGGGTCAATCCGATTCCGCCTGGGCAATGCTCGGCACAACGGTTCGGCTGGCCCAAGCGATGGGGCTGCACGCCCAACGAAACACAGTTCGCTGGCCCGAGTGCATTAGGACAAGGGCAAGGGCGCTCTGGTAAGTTGCTCCATGAAGAGAGAGGCTAATATCTCCTTTGTCCAACTTATCCACCATGTAGGATTGGTTGATAGCTGATAGAAGACACGCAGGTCGACAATTGTGTGGCAGGATAGCCTCCTCTCTCTTTGCTATGACCGCCCGCCGATCGTGTCAGTAACTGAATGGCCACTGGACGATTCCTTCTTTCAACGACAAAATCTGTCGTACACGGAAATTATGCATTTTATCTGTCGACTGAATCTCGACATAATGCGGCCTGAAACTCTTGCCGTTGCAGAGGTCAACCGAGCCATCGAAGGCTTGCAACAGTTTGATGGTGTTTACCAACGGGGCCAGCCTTATCTTCGGGCCTGGGAAAACTGCACGACGATCCAGCAGCATCTCGAGCACCTCGCATTAAGAATGCATTCGTCCTTCTTCATTTCCGTCCTGTGCCGCCCAGCTATAAAGACATCGCCGGCACAACCACCGCTTCCGCACACCGACATTCTTCGTACTCGTGCCAAGGCGAGCTTGATAGATGCGTCGAAAGCATTCCTGGACTTCCAGGCCCTAAGCGTTATCCCACTACGAAGCTGGTCAATGGTTCACACTGTTCTGAGCTCGACCTTGCTACTTTGCGCCTGGGAAGAGACCCGTAACGATCCCGAATGCCGTGGCCTACAACAAAGAGTAATCGACGTCTTCTCGTTATCAGACTCTACCGCCGGCGATGGTGCTTTGTTGTCAGACAATAACCGGGAATGGCTGTCTGCTCGCCACATTCGGGCTTTGGTTAAGCTGCGAAATGCATTGGACCAAGAAGAAGGTATTAGCACCACGGGTAATGAGAACTGGGCTGGACTCGGAGCCAACGCTATATCTCCCCTTGGGACTGTGTGCGTCTTCTTTGTCGTTTGTTTATTCGTGTCTCAAGTTGTGCTAATATTCTAAGTAGACCTGATGGATATTTGGATATGCTGGATCCTGCAGCCATATCGCCCGTCGCCTATCTCAACTCAGTGCTTAATGGTATGTTTTATATTTCTCTGCTACATAGTTACCAAACCTAAATTAACGCATTGCCATAGTTTCTCTCTTTGACTTTTCTTAGAATGATAGCTTTCTGTACCATCACAGAGTAGAGAGCTTGCTGCCCGCTGTCACGGGCTACCGGACGTAGTCCGATTTACATAAATTAAATTCATTTCGCTTGAGTTAATACACGTAACTGTTTAATCGAAACTTTAAACTCAGAGAATAGATTCTGAACGCTCCCAGATATAGGTCCACAGCATCTGCGATCACATGGATGAGGCCCGGGATTACAATTTGGTACAAGGCAATTTTTCAACCTGTGTCTTCTGGACTCAGTCCTCCCCAGCCTAGATGGCTCGCGTCCCTACATAGTCTAAAATTGGATAGTAGACCTGAATCTGCATGATCTAGGTTGTTCTTACTCGAGTCTGTAGTCCAGAAATCCGTTCAGATCGCACAGGAATGGATTGCAGTACAGACTTTAGGTGACCCGAGTCAGCATAATCGAGCCTGCGACTAAACCTGGTGCATTTGATTGGTGCTTTCAACCCGCCGAGTTGCAGGTGTCGTCTGTTACACAAGGGCTACGGTCACGAGACCTAGGGCAAAGTCCCTCACCGACTTCTTATATTTAAAGACGTCCTTGGCGACCGACGCCTTGAGGAAAACCAAGGACCTTTGATACCAAAGACTGTTATTAGATGAATTGAGTCATATTTCCCCAAGCATTTAGCTCTTGTCACATAGACAGCTCATTCCACGAACTACCCAGCTCCCTTATCAGTTTACCGGCGCCGGTAGCTGTGTGTGACAAGGGAAGGGTTACTAGTCTTGGAAGGTTGGGTTAAAAGTTCAATTTAATAAGCAACTTTGAAGTATCAAAGATGCTCGGTTTCCTAAGAGACTTGAGAGATCAGATGCCTCTATAACTACAAGAAGTCGATGAGCCCAACCGGCCTGAGGCAACCCTTGCAAAAAACAGTGAAATATGAAAATGAGAGTGTAAAGACGGCTTGAGTTTCAAGTTGACTGGTCAGCCTGCCCTGGTATCTAGCCGTCACGGGTCCGCAAGCCGCTTGAATTATCCTGTCAGCTAGGCAGAAACCACAAGCAGGCGACCTCGGTCTACTATCTCTAGTTTTCTCTGCCTAGGTGCAGTGCCAACGTAATTCCCGTCCTTGTAGTAAATTTCTTTTCCAACACCCCCTCAGGTATCATGTCGGCATCACCATTTGCTCTTAGAGCCTCCTCTAGCGTGCAAAACCCTGTTCGCTCAAACCCCAGTGACTGGTACATGCCAAGTGTGGCCAAGTTGTCAGGCTTCACCATGCACCGGACTGTAATCGTCGGGGCCACCCCACCACGCGAGACGACAAAGGCGCACGCTGCCTTGCAGAGTCGCTTACCGAGGCCCTTTCCCCTATGGCTCGGCAGATTGTACAAACTGAGCATCTGCCCTTTCTCCTCTTCTTCATCCGGCGCTGCCGGCGGCTGTCCCGACTCTGAAAGGTGGAATTCCTCGGCGGAGAGAGGCCCGCGCAAGGTAACCTGGGCAACCCATTCGCTTTCGCCCTCTAAGGTAGCTACGCATACAAACGTTTCCTTTCTCGGGTATTGAAGGCGTGAAACCCAGACGTCGTCGGGAAATTGAGACTCGGTCTCGTACGTTGAAGAAAAGGAATGAGGAGACTGCTTGAGCGCTTCAAGGCGCAGCCTTTTGTATTGGGCTGCTAGCGATGGCAAGTTGGGGTCCGACGGATCAACTCGAACAAATTGATATTCCATGGTGAAAGAATCTGATGCCCCGTCAACACGAGGACAGAGCCGTCAATTTATGCTTTGGTCGCATCGGTCTGGTATGGTTTGTCATTTCAAGGACGGTTGCGCGTGTTCCGACGCTTCGGCCGAAATAAGTGGGTCATTATTGAGCCATGGGGCCGAGCCGCGGACCAAAGCGAATGCTTGTCCGGGCGATGGCATATTAGTGTCAATATAAGAATCGGCAAAGTCGAACTCGTCTTTACGGGCATAAAGACGGACTCTGCATATTTCGTGGGCCAGAGTCTGGTTCAGCGTCGTCTATCTTACATCATTTACGCCCTCCCTTTCTCTATAAAAGAGCATGACGCCAGCCCAAATGGTTCAACATTGCGGCCATGGCAAAAACGTCGCTACGGACCAAGACCTCGGAAGCAACAATTGTGCCTTGCATGCACGACATGGAACTGTGCGTCGTATGAAGCAAACTTTTAGCCAACTTCTTGGCCGAGATGCAACAGATACCAGTGACTCTGGACCTGCCCCAGATGGAGGCATCAGGGCGTGGATAACCGGTGAGAATATACATTGGAAAATAGTGCTAAGTGCGCTCGTGGCTTTATTCTCTAGGCTAACTAGTACGGCATACCAAGTCCTCTGCTCGCACTTTGTGGTTATGAATACGTGGGGGTTTGCCAATTCTTTCGGGGCCTTCCAGGCCTATTTTGTCGAGACACTCGGTCGTAAACCCTTCGATATTTCCTGGATAGGCTCCATGCAAGTATTCCGGCTCTTCTTCCTGGGCACCTTCACTGGTCGTCTGACGGACTGGGGATACTTTCGCCCCCTACTCCTCCTCGGAACAGCATCGACTCTCGTTGGGCTATTTGCCTCATCATTTTGTTGCCGATACTGGCAATTTTTCCTCGCGCTGGGGGTTACTGTAGGTATCGGCAACGGTTGTCTGTTCTGCCCCATGCTTACAGTCCTGTCTACGTATTTTGACAAGAGAAGAGCTACTGCCATTGGCATCGCGGCTTGCGGCTCAGCTACGGGTGGCCTAATATATCCCACTGTAATCCGCCAGCTGCTCCCTTCCCTTGGATTCCCATGGCTCATGCGAGTAATCGGCTTTATCCAGCTTGTATTACTTATCATGGTGAATATCTGGCTGCGCCCTCGGATCGCACCTCGGAGACCTGGCCCTCTGCTGGACTGGATGGCGTTGAAAGAGACATCATATGTATTTTACACCATAGCATCATTTTTTGCAAGTACCTTCCCTGTACAAGTCAGCGCAGTCGGAATCCACCTCCTAACTTTTATATCCCACTTGCAGTGCCTTCTTAGCCTCTACTTTTCCTTATTCTTCGTTGCTTCCTTCTCCCGTACGGACGTCAACCCGGCATTTTCCTATGCAAAATCGTTGAATTTACTCTTGCTCCTCAATGGAATCAGTATCATTGGCCGCCTGGGGCTGAACTGCCTAGCGGACAGGGTAGGCACAATCAATCTATTCATCCCCGTTGCTGCATGTACAAGTATTCTCTTGTTTTGCTGGCCAGCTGTCCACGACGTCAGTGGTATCTATGCCTGGACTGGTGTATGTGGCGTTGCAACTGGTGGCCTTCAGAGTTTGTTTCCTGCCGCCCTGAGTTCCCTGACGCTGGATATGAGTAAGTTGGGTATTCGAATGGGCATGGTGTTCTCCGTTGTCAGCTTCGCTAGCTTGGTTGGCCCTCCAGTTGGTGGCCAGTTGATCAGCATGATGAATGGTGAATATTTGGCCGCGCAGCTTTTTGCAGGCTCGTCGATGCTGTTGTGCACGGCGTTTCTAATCGCTGCCCGGCATGTGAGCTTGAGGGTTCAAAGATTGGGCAACGGTAACCGGAGCGAAGTCTCACCTCCTTCCCGTTAACTCATGGCTCACCAATGAGTCGGGATAACCAGCCTAGTCCATAGATTGGGTCATCTAATCGATCGTCTGTCAGATGCTCTATCTGATATCCGCATCTCCTCCGTCGGCTCCCTGCAACAAACTGTCAAAGAAGACATTCACGCCTTCCAAGACCCAATTATTTGTGTCAAGAGCCATGCTTGATTGTCCGGCATGCTGCTGTTGCATGCGTGCATGGGCAGTGCCTGAAAAGGATGAGTGAAATTGGTGACGCTGTGTTGGCTGGGGATCCGTTGCGTTCGGTGCCATAGCGACTGTATTATGAACGAGTGGATCGAGAGCTGAGCCATCGGCAGAGCCAAGTATTCTTGCCGAGTTGCTGTTTGATGGCGCCTCCGTTATTGGGCTGCTGTGTTGCGGCTGCCGCTCGTCGTCACGGTCAGTAGAGACCTGCGGCCAGCCCGAAATGGCTGGCTCCCTAGAGATGCGCCCCTCGCGAGCTATTTTGATGGTTCCGAAGTGTGGAAGATGGATGTACAATACGGAGGTGTCATTACTGAAGCATGCATGCGGAGCTTCTGTGCCAAAGCTACCCTCGGTCAGACTCAGCCGAGACGGAGAAACGCTCTCGGCTGCATCGACACTCTGTGTGCTATACGTACATCCCTCCGCAGCGTGGCCTTCGACTGCGAGCAGTTGGGCCAAAAGGTGTGCTGCTTTGTGGGGAAGGGGATCGGTATTAAGCTCGGTGACGCGTTGCATAATGTCAATAACTTGTTCCACCATGGCAAGATCGCTGGAACGCTGATGAGCTATGAAGCTATGGCCGTCATGCTGATTGGCGTTAATGTGAGCCAAGATGAGGGTCATGGCTGCCGTGAGGGTGAAGAAGTCTATAGATTGACAGCACAAGGCAAGCAAGTTGGAGGAGCGAAGGGCAATGAAGCGGGTCAGCATCTCACGGCTGGAGGTGACCGAGGTGACCCTGTTGTAGACGTACTTGGGATCCAGCGAGGCGCGAAGCATGTATGGTAGATGTAATTGGTTCAACAGGCCGTAGTGCAGCAGCTGGTTGATGAGTCGGAGCGTCTCCGAGAAGACGTCGCGACATTCGCAGCTTGCGAGGTTGGCCAAGTTTGGGGGCAGCCACCACCGGGGCGGCATGGATTGTGCCAACCGTTGGATGTCGAGGTCGATTTCTCGTGTTGTGGTCACGTCGTGGGACGTGGTTAGGCCTCGCTGGTTGCGGTCGAGAATGCGAGAAGCTATTACACAATGCATCCGCTCGAGACGTCCCATGGGAGTATCGCTGGCCAGAGCCGACTCGCTTGCAAAGCTATCGTCGGGGGAGCTCTGAGGCAGGCCGAGCATCAGACATAGGTACCGATCCATGCTTATAATGCGGAACCAGATGAATTGTGGCATCGCCGTGGTGGCAGGATCGAGCGTGGTTGGGGTCTGAGCATTGGCGTTCAGCCCTATCAGTTGGGAAAATGCCACGGCACGGCGGAAGGTCAGCCATGCTCGCCTCAAGTTGCCACTATTTGCCTGGAATGAGCCCTCCAGCAACAGACACTCTATTCCTTCCACAGAGAGCATAAGATGGTCATTGGCAGTAACGAGACTGGAGGCGGTGTTGAACAGTCGTTCCATCATAGCGGACGGAGACTCTGAGAGCCTGCAGGCTGGATCCTGGAAGTCGGAGTGGACATGTTGAAGAGACGCGGCAAGCATGAGCATATGGCGAGCAAGAAGAACGGGATGAGCGCTGGGCGCGGGCAAGGTTGCTAGGTTTGCGGCCGGCTCATAGTCCTCGCGGGTCAGCTCAGAATGTGGCCGAATTAGCATCTGATGCAAGAAGACTGCGAAGCCTTTGCGGTGCTGACAAACGATGCGGCAATCCTCGGCCGAGGGGAGCGCTGCGTAGAGAAGAGCTGATATCTGTCCAAGCCTGGGCGTGTAAGAGGCATCGGGGACGGGAGTCGGGGGATGACAGTCTGTCGTCTGGAAAGCTGGCTCCGAACTGTGAGTTGCACGTACACCGCGATTTCCACAAGAGGCCTAGCAAAGAGAAGAAGAAAAAAGTTAGACTGCAGCGTTCACTGCTCACCCGTGACGCGAGACGAACCGGTGGCGTGACCTGCAAAGATGAACAGGCCGTAGAACCGGCCATGTCCAAACTTGAATGGGCCGCGGCAGGACTACGACGCAAAACAGAAACGTTCTGGACGAGCCGCCCTAGCAGTCCCTCGACTCTCTCCATGCGCTCTGCCATTTCTGCGTGTTTATCGGCTGGTCGGGGGAATTCGTCCGGGACTGGGCCATCTTGGCTGACACAATGAGCACCCCGGCGCTTGCACCCAAGACACGCATCCCCTTCCTCGGAGCATGGAACGCAACGGACCTTGCGCCGCTTGCACTCCCAACAGCTTCTCGTGCCTTTTCGAAGCGTTCGCTTCCCTGGCCTGTCGGCCTCGGGCGCGCGGGACGGGGGCCGGACGTTGATGACGTCCATGCTGCAGGCGATCCACGGAGGTATGGCTTTTATTGTTGGATGACAACTCCGTCGCGTCGAGGGACAGAAGAGGAATCGGCGCAGGGTCGATTGATGCCCGGATGGATGAAAGTGGCTGAATTATTCCGCCGAGATGGCGGAAGCGCCATGGCCCCAGTGCCATGAATTAGTCTGGTCCAGTCCCTTCGGACTTAACGGCCCGCCGTCACTTGTCACCGTTTGAAGCTTGAACCAGACGCTATTATCACGTTACCGGCTATGGGGCCGAGCGCGCAGGATTTACGCAGGAAGGAATTGATATTTCCTAAATCCGCCCACGGTCTTTATATCAATTCACCCCGCCTGATGCGAATACATCTATACTTGCATCATCCAGCCTTATAACGCTTGGGATGCCCATCCTTGGAAGCAAGAGCAAGTAAGCAGCCATCATGCCTCTCAATGTTCCCGCCGCCCACCGTTTTCTTGACCTTCTTAGTCTAAAAGGCAAGGTAGTCGTTGTCACCGGCGCCTCTGGTCCTCAGGGTATCGGTATTGAGGCGGCCCGAGGCTGTGCAGAAATGGGCGCCAATATCGCCATGACTTACACGTCGCGAAAGGAAGAAGCCGATGCCAACATCGCCAACCTTGTAACCAACCACGACGTTGAAGCTAAAGTATGCCGCTGCGATATATCCGACTATGCCAGTGTCGAGCAGCTTATCCGTCATGTCATATGGGACTTTGGCAAAGTTGACGCTTTCTTTGCAAATGCCGGAGCTGTCCATCACAGCACCATGCTTGATGCTTCCAAACAAGACTGGGACAGAATCATCAACCTTAACCTCAACGGCACGGCCTACTGTGCGCAAGTCATTGGGCCCCACTTTCGAAAGCAGGGTCATGGCTCCTTTGTGATTAATGCCAGCATCGCCCATCGAATTTGGAAGCTATAGTGTCGCCAAGGCAGGCTGTATACACCTGGCCAAAACTCTGGCCAACGAGTGGCGGGGGTTTGCAAGGGTCAATAGTATCTCACCAGGGTACATTGATACAGGCCTGGCAGGAGGCATTGGAAATAATATCCTCGATGTTTGGAACAGCATGATTCCCATGGGGCGCTGAGCGGATCCCAAGGAGCCAATTGAAGGGTGCCTTTGTTTACCTCGTCAGCGATGCTAGCTCTTACACCACTGGGGCGGATATTCTCCTCGATGGAGGGTATTGTGTCCGGTAGCTGGAGGCATATTCTCGAGTCAAATTGGGGCTAAGAGCCCATTCATCCTGCAGTGATGTCAGAGGGCCATCGTGGTTATAGAGCGAGCCCCCAACGATAAGATACCGAGCACAGCAACAGGGGGGGACTTACTAACGAGTCAAGAGGTGGGTATATAATATTTATGCAAAGCTTTATTATCAGCAGATATTTATGCGCTTTAAGTAAGAGGTGGGTATATAATATTTATGCTAATCTTTGATATAAGCAGATATTTATGCGCTTTAAATAAAGCCTTGCTAGTATAAAACGTTAATTTTACGTATATACTAAAGCCTCTTGCATAACAGGCTATAATATTAGAGAATACTAGATAGTCACGCCACTATTATAGGCTGCATAAAAACGACCCAGACTAATCCCCAATATTAATATATCTAGCGTTATCGGATTGGCCGGTCCTGAGTCATTAAAGAGGGGCGGGTTATAGTTATTACTTATACTTGATAGTCGGCTAAATCTTTCCCTTAGTGCCTATTTTTTCTTATATATAGCCCTATTAGTGTCCCCGGGATTGAAGGATTAGCAGCTTCTCCTCAGGAAAACTAAAAGAATAAACCTGCACTCTTTCAATCTATATAACCTATTCAAGTTCGCATATTACTATCGATTTACTTCAAGTTATCACGCTACTATGTTCTCTACTACTATGTTCTCTTTATTCTTGCTAAGTACCGCCGCGGGGGTCAACGCAATGCTCGGCGGCGAAGTTCGCGGCATCCAAATTAACGATAAAGAATACATTTGCGCGCGTAATTGTGCCTATCGGAATATCTTCCTTACTGATGATAGACATTTTTGCCCCAGGGAAGAAGTTGTCACTTCAAAGCTCTACGAAAATCAAATCTGGGACTACGACTGCAAAAGAACTCCACTACCATCCTATATTAAACAGAGTCCGCGTGGGGGAAACGAACCAGAAGAGTGCGAAGTTAAACAACTTAAAAAATTTGATGGGGAGCTATTGTGCTACGGTAACAGGATAGTTGGTGGCAAAGATGGGAAGATGGTATCGTGGAAGGAGATAGAAAAGGAGCTCCAATCCGCCAAGTCAGAGGGCGGGCAGGGCACTTCTGAGAACAACAAGCCTGCACCACCAAAGCCAACGCCATCAGCCACACCTGAGCAAATTGAGTGTATTAATAAAACTTTCACTAAGTTTTACGCCTGCAAGGACAAGACTTGCAGAGACAATGCTCTGAAGGAGGTGGACGAGTGTACAGCAAGACCAGCCACACTTACTTATGAAGAGTGTGGTGAAATACTTCAATCTAAGTATTCTCTCTGTAAGGACGACACAACTTGCAAAGATAATACTCTGGATGACTTTAGAGAGTGTGCAGCCCACATCAAAAGTTCTTAGAGTGCCTATAAAACTCTTGCGACTTTAACACTAGAGCAACAAACAAGTCGGGGGGCAATTGACAACTGCTAGTACGGGAGGTAACATTTATATCGGACTAGGCCCAAGAATAGCTCGGCTGCGCTCTCGCCCCTATCAGGAGCTTAAGAGTTCTTCGAGCTCTTATTTTCTAGTTCTTCTCTTTCTTCAGCTTTAGATTCTTATAGTAGTCTCTTAGCTATTTATTAATACACTCGCTTAGACTTTTACAATATTATAGCGGACAGGGACCACACCGTGGAAAGCTTGAGATTTGGGTTAGTTCAAAAGGCTCAAGTATTTTGAGGACACGCTCAACTAACACATGCCACGCCCGAAATGGGGTTACCACTTCAGGTAACGGCTTCCAGCTTCTGGCAGGAGCGAGGCACGTAAACTGAAAAGGAAGGAAAAGGACTAGAGGGACTTAATAAAGTAAAAGTAGCACGGTAAATATCTTTGTTCAGCCAAAGGCTATATATATATACTTTAAGGTACGAAAGGCTTTTCTGGACGTACCTTAATACTAAAAGTTTCTTCCCGTTAAAGCCTTCGTCTCTTGTTAGTTATAGTTTCTTGTCCTCTACTTGGTCTTTTTTTGTTACCCAGCCCGACCCCGCAAGGAAGTTGATGGATTTGCCTGCGTCTCCAACGGTCTTCCTTCCTACTCAGCTTCCGCAGCCTCGCTTGTGCAGCGGTCATCTCTTCGGGTACTTTGTTGCCTACCAGATCTCTCTCCCACGCTTTCGACAGTAGCATGATGTTATCCAGAGACCTCCTGTACTCGAAACGCCGCTACGCTATAGTATTCTGTCGTGGCTGGGGCCCCCGTCGACGCAGCTTGGGTAATGCCCTTACGATTGCTTCCACTTCTTCTCGTCGCGAAACCTCTTCAAAAGCTGATCTTGCTAATCGAAACGCGGAGGCCGCACCTGTAAGCCCCCCACACCCCGATGGTCGACTGTCTCCTTGGCTGCTGATCTGGGGCAGTGCGGCTATCTAGAGTATTTCTTACCATGTCCGCAACTAAGTTTATTATTACTACTTTACTATGTGTAATTTACAGCCAGGATTCCCTACTATACTGCTGTTACTTTAACGTTAAGTACCCCTAATAGATAGTATATATTTAGCTTTAAAGCTTTACTGCTTAGATTATATTACTTATAAATACGCTTTTTTTAGATATAAAAAACTTACCTAAAAATAACTTCTCTTATATTATAGTATTTCCTTTAGATTATATTATCTTTTATTATAGTACTATATTAATAAGCTAATAGTCCCTTATATTTACTATAACCTTATTTTTACCTTTATTATTATAGTTTTAGCTAGTCTAGGTAAATAACTTTTTATTTTAACTTTATTAGTAGTAGTCTTTTTAATATTATATTATTTCCTATCCCTTTGTAATAAGAGGGAAAACTATAATATAAAGCTACTTTTTATTAACTAGCTTTATAATATTCTTCTTAATTTTCCCTTTTATCTTTTTTTTTTCTTATTTTTTTAGTTATTTTATTAAGTTTTTTTACTTTTTTAATATTTTTAGCTTTTAATAATATATTTCTTTTCTTATTAATATTCTTTATAATAATAGCTTTTTTATTACTTTTTTAGGCTTATTAACTTTAATTCTTAAAGTTATAATAAGTAATTTACTTATATTAAGCTTATTACCTTTTTTAGTACTAGTTATAGTTATAGTTATTAATTACCGACTAAGTCTGATATTAGTAAGAAGCTGTAATACTTCAGGGAGCGATATAAAGCCGGAGACCTATAAGTAACTGCTTTATAGAGCAATTTATTTAAATTAGGTGTATAAAAGCAAAACAGGGTAATTATAGGGAAGATAATAGGCTTTATAAAAGTTAAGCGTAAACTTTATTAATTTATATTATATTAGATTACTTTAAGTTTTTTAGGGTATTAGTATTCTTCTTAATTTTCCCTTTTATCTCTTTTTTTTTTCTTACTTTTTTAGCTATTTTATTAAGTTTTTTAATTTTTTTAGTATTTTTAGCTTTTAATAATATATTTCTTTTTTTATTAATATCCTTTATAATAATAGCCTTTTTATTACTTTTTTAGGCTTATTAGCTTTAATTCTTAAAGTTATAATAAATAACTTACTTATATTAGGCTTATTACCTTTTTTAGTATTAGTTATAATTATAGTTTTTTTTTTAGGTTATTAATTATTAATTAAGTCTAATATTAGTAAGTGCTTTAGGGAGTAATATAAAGCCAGAGACTTATAAGTAGCTGCTTTATAAAGCAATTTATTTAAATTAGGTATATAAAGGTAAAACAAGGAGATTATAAGGAAAATAATAAGCTTTATAAAAATTAGATATAAACTTTATTAATTTATATTATATTAGATTACTTTAAGTTTTTTAGGGTATAACTCACGTGGTTATAAGTTATTATTATTATTATATATATTTTTAACGCGTAGAGTTATAAGCTTTTACTGGCGTATAAAGTTATAAATCACCTTTTAAGCTAATAGATTTAATGTATTATAATATATATACTATTTTTTAAATTATATATTACTATTAAATTAGCTAGGTATAGCTATTAATTGTGTTACTAGTAGGTCCTGGTGATTAACTAGCCTTTTTTTTATTTTTTTATTATAATTTAATATTATTTCCTATAATAGCTAATTAAGCCCTAATAGCTACTCTATTTAAATAAAAATAATATTATTATTACTTTTTCCTAATATAAATTTTTAGTATATATAAATAAGGCCTTATTAACCTATATATATATACTTTTTAAGTTATACTTTTTAAGTTATTTAAATACTATACTCCTGCCTTTACTTATTAGTTCTAGTAATATTTACTAGGCTTGCCTTGTATTATAACTTACCTGTAATATAAAGGGCCATTTTAAGCATTAACCTGATCCTTAGACTAAGTATCATGCTATTATCCCCCTTCCAGAGCGTACACGCCATAATGTCATTTGGCAGCACAGCCAGGAACGAACCTTCTCCCCGTAGGGCTTTTATTTGCACCACCTACAGTGGGTATAGTCTCTCTCCATGCGCCGGTGAGCACTTCAGCCTATACACCTGCATTTTCTCATTAACAGCAAACTCACCAAACCGTCCATGTTAAAAAGGAAAGAAAATTCAGACAGAACAATCTAATAAATTTCTTATGTGAATAGAAAGAGAAAAATATAAAGTAAATTCAAAACCCGCCTGATTATATGGCCGCAAAACGAACCCGGCTTGTCTTGTTAACTATATTCGCCATAGCTCTCAAATCTAC